GATAGACAATAGAATCTAAGCCTTAAGCTCGTGAGCCTAGGTGTAAATTCGTTTGTAAGCCGATTGAATTATAGTCTAATATACTGCAAGCACGCAATCTACGAGTACTTGTTATAAATAATGGGTACAATCGAATACAGATAGTCTCAAACTCTATCAAATTTAAATTGATTGTAATGCCTGTAACGCGTTCAACATTTTTAAAAGATCCAATTACATATTTACACTTAAGACGCACATAAGTAAGTATTTAGAAATATTACAAGTGATAATCAATAATAAATAAAACATACAAATCTATCCATTTTTTTAACAGATGGTGAATGCCTAATGCACGCCGTAATGCACGCCCACGTCGGGCAAGTGTGACGTGGGAGGGTGGTAAAGCGTATAGCCGACCACAACCACTAAACTTTGAGGGAGCCCTGGGAACACGTTTGACTCCAAAGCTCCCAGAGACATTGCGTACTAATATACCCAAATAATTTTTCTAACTAAAATATTTTAAGTAATACGTCAGTGCCAGTTGAATTGAAGAGCCATACTGCAGCACAAATAAAAGAAGTTTTCTATTAAAAATTATACACAATTTATGATGCAGATGCAGAAGAGACGTTTATGTTTTATATCCGCGACGTGTTCTTTAATTCTGTTTGAGATGCTACGCTTTGTTTGGCCGATGTAGGATAGGCCACAATCACAATCCAGTCTGTAAACGCCTGCATCTTGTAAAGGGATAGTACACTTGTTTGGTAACTAATATATCGCGTTATAAACCGTTAAAGCGTTTTATTTAGATGTGTACTACTCGCGTAAACTATAGACAGTAGCTTATAAGTTCTGTATGAAACCTTTTTGTACCGAAGGTAATCTGTTATAATTAGAAAACATCTACTCTGTGACCTAAAAGTGGAACCGAAACGTCAATAGCTCTCTCGACAGGCTGTTCCCATATCCAAGTTAGATTACGAGTGAAACATTACAATTTACGATTGTACGAGAAAGACCGAGACAAACGGCCCGACGACACGAAACGCAACAGATTTACAATTTTCAACTGAGTGCGACTTTAATTGCATAAACTGTAACGTGAGTTGTATAGAAAATAATTAATATACGCAATTCTACAATTACACGTAAAAACGGCACAAATTATAGTAATTAAAAATCTATTATAAATGGAAAATTATTACGACTCGGGCAGGACTTGAACCGGCATCCACACCGTTTTCGGTGCTGTTGAGTAAACCAATTTTTTATGTATTGATACGTGCACCTCTCGCGCAATGTTTTTTTTTTTTTCAATTTATAATCAATTTTTAATTATCATAGTGGCATCACATGTGAAAACTCTATATAATGTAAGCTGTGATAAAGATTGTTTCCTATACGGATCGATTATGACTCATTTACCAGTAGGCCCTTTTCTAAATTGTTAAGATACACAATACGTTATCAGTAGGAACTAGGCTCGATATTACTTATACTGAGAAAGCTTATTCATTTGTTTCTTATCAGTTAAAATAGAAAGCTTTGGAAATTTAACTTCCTGTATTGGTGATAAGGAAGGAATAGGTCAAATAATGACCAAGTAGCTGATAAAATATTATAATTTAACGTTACAATTAATTGAACATCTAATCCGTCCAGTCGTAGTCAAAATAAATTTCAACTATTTATTATTTATTTTAGTCTATTTTTTGCCAATGTATTAATAATATATAAAATTGGTGGAAGGAATATCTAAATTCCGCCCGGGCCACGATCCACCGTCCACAGATAAAAAAGCCGTAAAGGGCTTTTCGGTTTAAATCTATGGTTTTCCGAAAACCTTAATCGAAATAAGTCGACAGCACATCTTGTTTAGATGTTATATGGGGTATCTCACCTACCATCAAGTGAGGAAAGTACGTGTCTGTCTTCCTCTATCTTAAAAATATACACATTTTGCATGAATTTAATTTAATTCCGTTAAAATGGGGGAAATAATATCGGACGACACCGAGCAACAAAAGCTGAAGCGTTCAGCCATAGACAACTTATATTCGACGCCAAAGATTCTAAATTTACCTGCTCCACCTTTCTTCACTTTCTAAAATGAGTTAGAACATTAAAACAAGCCGGTGAGAGACAAAAACAGGGAAAGGGTAAATTAAAAAACTGTTATCCTAATCTCTAGACGGGGGCCCCGCGCCGGCGGCGGTTTTCAAATAAATGTTTACAAAGCGAACGATTTAAATATTCAATACAATCCAAAAACGGAATAAAACGGTAAATGACCGATATTAAGATAAAAAAAAGGAGTTTTTTTGTGCCAAATTGTCTGTATGCCAAATTCTATGATTTTTTTTGTTTTTCACAAATACGTACTAGTAAATGCTAGATTAACGTCTATACATCTTATTGTTTACTGTCGACATTTTAGTAAAAAGTATTTCTTTCTTATTTCTCAATATGCGATAAAAACGTATGTAATTGTAAGTAATTATTATGATTCCGTCCATTGTTTGATTTGTTTTTCTTTCTTGTTTATAAGATGATTTTAGCATTACTAAATAAGAATATAAGATAAATAACGTGTAAATAATACAAGCATTAAAGGTCTGAATAAATTGTTATATTAATCATTATTATTTTAGAGATTAAATTAAAACCTTGCCCTTAGAAATATTGAAGAAAAAAGGACTGAATAATACTAATACAAATTACTAAAGCACAAATATGTTCTCCTGTTTCAGATAGATTGAATAAAGATTACCTAGTAATTTTTCAATACACTTATCCACTTAATTGAGACATATTCCTTCGTACAGGCTGGGTTTTTGGCAACGTATCAGCCACTTTCGTACTTTTCCACTCAGTATACCGAATCATAATAACGAATTTCAAATATCTTCAGTACTGACGTCATCAAAAACAAAATTACACACTGCCGTCAAAATTACTAACCAAACCTATTATTTGCAGATGCTTATTGAAAAAGCGAATCCATTTGTTGGTTCTGTACCGTTATATTCTTATAGTGGAAACGAGATAGGAAGATCTATTTATAACTTGGTAAACGTACGTTCTCAGTAGAGAACATATTTATATATATATTATATACACATATAATAATATACACATGTTAATTACTAAATTAATCAATTAAATAAAATACCTTAACGGTTTAAAATGCGATATATTAGTTAAACTTATTTGGAAATGAGTTTTAACTTCGGCCCGACGTTTCGGATGCTATGCAGCAGCCGTGGTCACGGGGAATAAGTTTAACTAATATATCGCGTTTTAAACCGTTAAAGTGTTTTATTTAAATGTGTACTACTCGCGTAAACTATAGACAGTATTTAAATTAATCGTTTCTTAAATTTAGCATAAGGCAGTTATATTTTTAAAGATAATTGTTATATACCACGTACAAAATATAATTTTGTAATAGAAGATAACGCACCGTCCCACAATTAGCCATAATATAAGTAATGTCACATTTTGATTGTTTTGGCGTTACAATAAGCTTATACGTAGTTTAGTTTAGTTTGTAGAGAAAAATGTTGTAGTAATTTTGATCACTCATAATAAGATACCTCTTTATTTGTCAATAGACCAAGCATGAGGAAAGTCATTTATAAGCATAACCTTTTTTGAATTTCTAAAAAATACATCGTCAATTATAATAAACCGTATTACAGGTCTTTCATTAAAGGTGGAGGGTCAGCGCGAAGAGTTCCATCAAAAAGGATTCCGTGCGGCTAATAGACGTATTAACAAAAAGCACATAGAAATTACGAAGGAGACGATAAAGAAGCGGATGCGAATAACAACATAATAAGGGCTGGTGTAACCTCTCGTCATTACACCGTAATTATAAACAGTAATCAGCACGCTATCTAACGAGGACAATGGGCGGACAGTTGCTAAGCCGCGAGATAACGTTTCCATTAATCTTTACGCAAATAAACATCAAAGTGGACGTAAATCAGGACAAATGGGGATTCGAAAAGTTAACGATGATATAAATTAAACTAAACAACCACTTCGCATTAGAAAGAGTATGTAAGTCATAGTAAGATGGTAGAAGAAAACAAGAGAAGTTTAGTGGAGAAGTTTTTAAGAAATTAATTTGAAAATGTACATGTTTGTTGTAAAAGTTATCTATTTCATTTATATAATAAGTCTAGGTATCAATAAAGAAAATAGAAAATTCTACGTAGAAAACTAAAAAATAATAGTAATTATTCTTTATCATTAATGAATCACTAGCGAGGAAAAACGCATTAACCGAGATTGATATAACAAATTCTTAAACCCGGCAGCATTTGAAGTATTCAATTTCCTCTCCTTTGAATCGTAAAATTATTATTTTAATCTGACCCCATTCCGCGGTAAAATATGAGGAGAAAGCGTCGTACACGTTACAGACAAGACTGTTGGGAATGTAATTAGAGTAAAAACAATAGGCGGGTGACCGAAAACACAGGTGTGATTTCGTAATATTTGCATAAGTGTAATTGAAGAGAATCGCGTGAGAGTCCCGTGCTTATGAATGATTCGCATCGCGAGAAGGAAAGTGCTCATGCGAATAGATGCGCTTGCGCAAGTGTACTACAGTAATAGACCTTTATTTCCGCTTGATAAATTGTTCAGATTACCGCGCACGATACACTTACGAATGCAAATGCTTACTGTTTATTTTGGAGCATATAATTCAAAATGAATTAGACTTTTCCGGCAATCTTGTCACATTGGATTTTATCTGTTGAGTTAATAATACAATGCACCTGACCTTTTTGAATCATTTGTGGTTTTATGATGATAAATTGAGACATTTACTATTTATAAACTCAATATAACATTTACTTTTTAAAATATATATTTATTTCATTATCTTTTGTTTTGTAATATGCACTGCCGTGTTTTTGAGCTTATGGCGAAAGCTGTACATGGATAAGAGAAAGATAATATTTTAATAGATATATCAAGATTAGGATTAGTATTACTAGATGACTTACAGACTGAACACGACACCAAACGTCTTAGATATAACACCCATCGTCTTCTTCCATCCCTTGACGAACTGGCGTCGGCGCACCCCTCGGGGTGTCACCGCGCGATCCAACTCCTCGTACGGGTTAATCTTGACGGCGTCCACTGACAACGGAACACTGAACAATGCAAGCGTCATAATCCTTCATAGAACACGAGGTCTCGACTACCTGCGGCCGACATTACAATACATTGGAAAGGACGGGGAGCGAGGCGCGCGCTTCGTGCGACGGTCTGAACGACACTGAACGAATACTACGGCGCTCTACGCCGCTACGGGGGTGCAAGTTGTAAGCTCTGATTCATTGCCCGATAATTGGTTGGATATTGAAATGCATAGAGGAAAATCTCCACGCGATTAATTATTGTACTTCCGATTTCCATAAAGGACTTCAATTAGCCAGAAGAATACTTCAATCAGACGATGTTAAGTCTTTAAGAGGTGTATTATGCATTTTTACATTAATATTAATTTATTTTATCGTATGTTAGAGATCGGATGCGCGATAGGCACATGTATCTATAGTTTGAAAAGATTCGACTATTACGTGCAGGTGCGGTAGCTCAATTGGTTAGAGCAACAACACGGAATGCTGTGGATGCCGGGTCAAGTCCTGCCCGTGTCGTAAGTTTGTTTTTTATATCTAAAATCGAATTTTAATCTATCATATGATATATGTTTTATATATCATATATATATTTATATATGATATATAAAACATATATCATATGTTTTATATAAAAAAAACTTATGATATCCCGAGAATAAAATGTCTATAAACTTCCATACATGACGCATGTATACATTTCCTATAATGGTTTAAATTAAACCCTTTTTACCACAGACTAAAATTCTTATAAAAAGCGTCTAACAAAAGAAGGCGTAATTCCAGCCTTATCTGTCGGAAGCCCATGGGCGCTGAATCCCTTATACGACACGCGATTGCTGCACGCGAGGGGCACACGAGCATGAAGTCTTGTCCCCAAAAGCCGGAGGGGCAACATTGCGTGCCCCGTCCTACGATGTCAACGCCCCGAAGTACCTTTGAAAACCTTCGTATTATTTTAAGATTCCAACTAATAATTAACAGTGAATACAAAATATGCAATATAAAACATACAATATCTATTTATATTTCTTGATCTAAAGGCGAAAACTTTTAATTGAATTTCTGATATCTAATTTGAGAATAACTAAATAATATTTACATCATTGATATTCGGGCTGTTCGGCCGACGTGAGCGAGAAGAGGTTCTCAATGTTTTGTTAATTCTTCGTACAATCGAGGAGTTAACATCTCCTGATGATGCCGTCCACACGTAATGGCGAAACGTCGAGAACCTCTTCTCGCTCACGTAGGCCGAACAGTCCGAAAACAATGATATGCTGAACGATGGCCGTGAAAGCCTTACATAATTTATTAAATAATATTTAATTAAAAAAATAAATAGTTTATTATTTCGAAGGTGGTATTTATATTCCCATTTTTATCCTTTCATAATTCCTAGGGGACATTAGACTAAGTAATACTAAGGAAAAACAGCAATTCAAAAGAGTTTGATATTTTCTGAAAGCCTCAACAATTTCCATGGAAAATTAATTAATCTCATAAGGCAATATGGTAAATGGAAATTATTCCGAGAGATAATTCCTCAAGTGGAAAACTTAAGTGTCGTCGAGGAATAAAATAATATGTAAAACGTCATTCTACCTTTAAGGAGCTTACTATGTCGCGTCATGGAATATGAAAAGTTGTAAGCAATTCGCCCGCATATAAAGATATCCGTACACACGCTACTTTATCTAGTGCGCTTAAGTTTATCAATTGTTAGAATGTGTTAGACTTAATTACATTCACATAAAATTAGGTCATTCTATAAAAGAAACACAAATGTTTCTTGCGTATTATTTAAAAGTTTAGTACTATATTTTTATTGCCCATTCCTTATTTGTACTTTTATTTCTTAAGAATGTTGTTCGGTAAATTATACGTTTTGAAAATCTGGAATTACATTTGGTGCGTGGTCTCAGAAGAAAATGCTCTACATAAAAATCGAACCACGTAGGCGACTTAATGCCTACCACTGCACTAAGCGTGTATGGTTTTGCATTTAAGTCCCGGGAAAACAAAAAAGTTTCGGTTTAGATTAGATTAACCTAGGGCTTTTAATTCAGATTGCTAACATCTCGTGTCTGAAGCGACCCTAATAACTTTGCAGTGACGTTGATGTCATTGTGAGATCATTACGTGAATCACGCTAACTTTAGACCGTATGCAATTTATATAATTGCGAAATCCACTAAGATCAATGACACAACGCCATGCAAGTCGAGACAACCCACATTTTCAGTTGCGATTTTCTTGTGACGTCACAAATGTGTCATATGCGTCTAGAGTTTTCTTCAGTTTATAATTGGAACACATCCAATGGTTGTTATGAATAATGTCAAAGCATAACGATGGTGATTCGCTGAAGACGTCGAAGAATACTAGTACAAGATGTATAAAATTAAGCTTTAACAATTTTGAAGAATCCGCAAAGCTACATTGTGATACAGATAGATAGGCACCAAGACATTTAGCTTGTCTAATCTCAAAGTCAACGAATGTCTAATCTGATTCCATGGCATTTAAATACATAATCGTTACATAATTTATATTAAATAGTTTTTTTAGATTAGGCTTTTATTATGTATTTAGTACCAACTAGCCTCTTTGAAATAAATAAATCTTCTTACTCTACTTTTCAAATGTATTGCTTTTATAATATTTGGATTTGCACCAGCGCTGGATAAAAAGCAGCTCAACATTTTTGACAGCGTCGTTCCCAATACAAAATAGTAATTTATCTCATCATATATCATACTGTTCCCGATTACACATCGCATTGCATACATTTGGGCACTCTTAAAACATTTACAATAACTCTAGACAGCATATTTCCTAGTGAATCAATTATAAATTTTAAGGGCATAGACAAGGGCGTATAGGCATAGTGATAATGCCCTGTTAGTAGCCAAACTCAACTACAGATTACGAGGTCCAAAGCCAAGAGTCAAGCGAAATTAGAAGTACTACTTTTACTAGGAATCTTTTTAAGGACGGAAGTCATTAATAAAAAAAGCTTGCTGTATCGAAGTTTTAAACTCTGTTATAAGAGAGGACAGACAGCAGGGCACTAATAAGTTGAAAGACCAAATCTCAAGGGAATAATGTTGCACCACACCTTATTCATAATAACTTTGCGTGTCTATAATGCATCAAATGACACAAATATTATAAATTGCCATCACGCTGTACTGACTCCAAGCAAGGACAATACTGCATAACAAGTACTAGGAGTGCTGGCGCTAGTAGTTTGATCATTTACTATCCTTATCAACTATTTCTAGTCACTGTCTTAAATCTATCTGTGAAGTATTAGTCTTATATTAATGTTCTGTAATAAAAAAGGTAGATCTAACAATTTGATACATCAATACGTGTGTTACAAAAAATAATAATTCTGCAAGAAATATGAAAACAATTAAGAAGAAAGAAAGAGATGTAATTGAATTAACGAAGACAAACAGATGCTTTATAACAGAAAAGCTATTTCAACCAAACAATCATAGCAATAAGTAAAAGAGATATTAAATTATGACTTCCTAAAATGATACAATTTGACGTCAGAAATAAGTATATTTTTATAATACTTTATGATAGACTGCTTCATAGACAGTACATAAATACTGCCTATAATTAATTTACGCGAGTAGTACACATTAAAATAATATACATTAGTTATACTTACTTTTAAGTTAAGTTTCGCTGATATATATCGCGTTTTAAACCGTTCACATGTTTTATTTAGACAGTAAATTGCTAATAGTAAATAAACAAGAGACCCAGCTATTGTTCTTTAAAAATATCCATCGTAATTGTATAAGCGCGGGTGTGGCCGTAATATCAATTATGCTATTAATTCCTCCTTCGTGGAATAAAACAAAGAGGAGATTCAATGGCACGAATGCTGATCTCGGAGATTCACGCAATGAGGTGGTAATTCAATAATTTCAGCGCGTGCCCTTAAGGTTAAGGTCGATAGCAAGAAACTGGCGTGTCTTACAAGCGATCCTCAAAGCAATGTCATGGATAGCGTAAGACAATTCCTCAATCTAATTATAGCAATTGTCAATTACAACTGTTAGAAACATGGATTTGATTGTACAACGAATGGCGTATTTAAAATCTTATTTATTGACGACTTAGAATTTTAAAAGTGTAAATTAAAAATCGAAAATAAATTGAAAAAAAAAATCGACTCGGGCAGGACTTGAATCGGCATCGTCAGTGATCTTTGTACTTCTCGCGCAAGTTTTCAAAAAATACATGTATTTAGAACTATACATACTTTTGAATTACTATTACTTAGATAGTTCAGATGCTGAAACAGCAACCAGTGAACACTACCTAATTGTAAGTCAAACAGCGTAGAACAAAGCGCTTGCGCACGTGGTTTACGATCCCATCTTATGGGGAGCAATCTGAGGGACCCACATGACCCAGATGTATTCAAATGTTATGTAACGCGATGTGAAATCGGGAACAGTATAAATAAACATTGAACACGCACGAAGCTGATCGCATCTTGAGGAATAAATTATCTATTTGTATTGGGAAAGACGCTGTCAGAAATTACAGCTATTTACCCAAACTTACGTTAATAAACTGAAACTTTCATGTTATAATGTTTAAGATACCTTTTGTTAAAGAGGCAAGCCATGATATGTTAATATTTCAGTGTGCACGAATGTAAAGTTTTTTTTTATGTAAACTCTATATAGCGACACTGAAGGGACTGTGCATTTTATGGCGTTATAGAGAGTTGTCGTTAAATGGAGAGAAGAAACATTGTATGAAAAACAAGCTAAACCAACCAAAGCCAATTAATTTCGACGCTTAAGAGAGTTTGTCGTTAAATAGAGTGACGTTACATGGAGTTTACACTGTATTCTACTAATAATGTTACAAATTTTATTTAATTTAAAAGCACCTTATGTGCTATGTGAGTGTAACGAAAATTTCGTTAAAAATAAGATTATTATGTTGTTATTTACCAACGAGCATAATATGAAAGAAAAAATACTACTAAAAATTAAAAATATCTACACATTGTACGATATAGTTTGAAAAGAACTCAAAGTACATAACTCCTCTTTACAATTTGTAAAGTGCAATTAAACCTATCACTCGAATAGGAACGA